CTTAACCGACTGCGCCACCCAGGCGCCCCTATGGTTCATTTATTTTGAGAGAGAGAGAGAGAGAGACAGCATGAGTGGGGGAGAGGGTGAGAGAATCCCAAACAGGCTCCTCACTGTCAGGGTGGAGCCCAACATGGGGCTCGAACCCATGAACTGTGAGATCATGACCTGAGCTGAAACCAAGAGTCAGACGCTTAACTGAGCCACCCAAGAGCCCCTCTAATGGTTGAGTTTTTAGAGTTCTTTGTGTCTTCAAGATCTAAGCTTTTTACCACATAAGTAATTTGGAAATATTTTCTTTATGGTATGTTCTATCATTCGCCAGTGTTTCTCACAGAGCAAACATTTAATTTTGCTGAAGTTCAGTTCATTACATTTTTCCTTGTAAATTATATTTTTCATGTTTTACCTAAGAAGTATTTGTGTAATCCTAGCTTACGGAGATTATCTTCTATGCTTTGTTCTAGAAGTATTATAATTTTAGGTTTGTTCTTATATTGATATTCTAAAATTCCTGCCTATTTCCTGTATAAAAATTAGTGTGTGGATATTTTATTTTCTTCTTCCTCAACTTTCTTCCATTTTTAGTTGCATTATTTCTTTGTCATAATTTAAAATAATTTCTGCAGTAGTTTTTCTTCCTTGCCTCCATCTGCATTTTAGTTGTAGGTCTACTTTTATATTAAAATGATCATCATCAGCCCTTTCTCTGACGTTTTCTTTTTTTTTTTTTTTTTTTTAAATTTTTTTTTTTTTCAACGTTTATTTTTGGGACAGAGAGAGACAGAGCATGAACGGGAGGGGCAGAGAGAGGGAGACACAGACCGAAACAGGCTCCAGGCTCCCTGGAGCCATCAGGCCCAGAGCCCCACGCGCGGGCTCGAATCCCGGGATCGATTCGGCAGGACCTGGCTGGTTTGATCTCAATCGACTGCGCCACCCAGGCACCCCTCTCTGACGTTTTCTTAGTTATCTCTTCGTTGGAATGAACCAATTGTACTTGAGTTCCTCTACTCAAGAAAGGCTGATTAGTGTAGAATTCCCTAAGTTCTTGTGTGTTAAAAAAAACCAAAAAACTGCTGCAGTGTCCTTGATACATGAAGGACATCTGGCTGGATATGAAATTAACATTTTTGTAACATTTTTGTATTGCGTTTTAAAAAATGCTTCTCCACTGTTGCTTGATATTTAATGTTGTTTTTATGTATTTGATATTCTCATCTGAAGGCCTTGAATTTTATTCTTCATCTTTGAAATGTAATATTTTTGTATCAGGATATGCTGTGAAACATTGCCCATTCTGACCTTAACTTTCTTAGGTTCCCAATTGGCATGTTTAATATGCAGATTCTGCTCTCTTGAGATGCCTATAAAGTTTTCTTGGATTATAATTTGAAATATTAGTTCTAGTCCATTGTTTTATGTTTCACTCTTTAGGGGATGCGGTAGTATGGATTTTATTCTGTTTACCTCCCTTAATTTCCACTATTTTGTCTCTGATCTTTTATTTATCTCCTTTTCATTCCTTTGTTTTTTATGTCTCTCTTCAATGCTTGTTTTTTTATTTTTTAATTAAATTTTTTTTTATTTTTTATTTTTTGGAGAGTATGAGTCAGGGAGAGGGCCGAGGGGCAGAGGGAAAGACAGAGAATCTTAAGCAGACTCCATGCTTACTTAAGATTCTCTTAAGCAGATTCCATGCTCAGCATGGAGCCTGATGTGGGGCTCTGTCCCAGGACTCTAGGATCATAACCTGAGCTGAAATCAAGAGTCATATGCTCAACCAACTGAGTCACCCAGACACCCCTGAACACCTTTAAAACAGCTGTTTAAAAGTCTCAGTCTAGTACATCTGTCCCTGGGTCTTTTTCAGGGATAGTTTTCTGTGGATTTTATTTTTCTTTTAATTGGTCATACTTTGATGTTTCTTTGTATGTGTCATGATTTTTTTGTTGAAAACTGGACATTTAAATCTAATAATGTGGCATCTCTGGAAATTAGGTTCTTCGCATTCCCCAGGGCTTGCTGTTTTTTTGTTTTGTGTGTGTTTTGTTGTTGAAGGATCAACCTGAGGTATACACTTTAGATCTTAGATCATCTTTAGCCTTTGCTTTTCCCTAGGCATGTTTGATGACATTCTAATTGCCCCCATGCATTCTGTTGCCTTTGAATGTCCTAGTCTTTCATGGTGGGCTTCGAAAAGAGGAAAATGAGGGCATGAGGAAAAATGGAGACTGGCCCTTTAAATGCCTTGGCTGTCCCTATGGCTAGAGGGTGAGGACCTTGCAACAGAGGGAGGAGTTGCAGCAACAATGGGCCACTCACTTCATTGTCTACATCTCTATGATCAGAAGCAACAATCAGTAATCCTAGCATATACTCCTGATATTTGGAGGACAGTTTTTTTCCTCATCCTAGTTGCAACAAGCTTTGTGCAGACTGCTCCAATACATATGCATAGTTGTCTGCTCCAGGGCTGCAGCCTGGGGGATGGGGAGCTTCTGCCAAACTAACAGCTGAAATTGACCCAAATAACCACAGTTTACCTTACCATCCCCTTGGAAGTTGGAAGCCTTCAAAAGATTCAGAAGATCCAAAATAGTTACATTAGACAGATTCCTGATGTTCTTTTGCCATCTCCCAGAATCCTTCTCAGAGTGCTTTTCATAAAGCTTTTCGCCTGGCTTCTTTGACTTTTATTTTGCAGTTTTTTTTTTTTTAAGTGAATTACATTTTTAAAAAAATGTTTATTTATATTTGAGAGGGAGAGAGAGACAGAATGTGAACGGCAAGAGGGTCAGCGAGAGACAGGCAGAATCCAAAGCAGGCTCCAGGCTCTGAGCTGTTAGCACAGAGTCCAATGCAGAGCTCAGCTCACGAGCCTTGGGATCATGATCTCAACTGAAGTTGGATGCTTGACCAACTGAGCCGCCTGGGTGCCCCCTTTTGCAGAGTTTTAGTGCTCCATTCCTTAAGTGAAAAATCATCACACAATGTCAGGTCTGTTTCTTTGTGCCCCAATTCTGTTATAGGATCATGGCCTACACTCTGAGTCTTGGCAGCCTTGGCAGCCTTGAACTTTTTCCTGTCTCTCTATCCTCAT